TCTGTTCAGCAGCAGACATGTCTTGATTGATACGGGTATTATTTGTCTTCTCATAATTTCTATTAGACAGCCTCATTGGTTAGAATTTGGTAGAAAATTAGGGATGGGTTTGAAACAAGACACATATTTGTAGTTGTAATGTCCTGAAATCAAAGAGAAAGTGATTTGCTCTAAACTTAGAATCTCATAAATGAACCAAACAGGGAAACATCAACCTTTCACCATGTTCTTGAACAAGAATCTTCATAGATTTGATGGGGTCTGGGGTCCATTGCCAATCATTGGCAAAACACATCATCTCCCTCAGTGTTGAAAGCTCAAGATCATGATCAACTTCTCTTGATCCATCTGCATATCCTCACCAAAACTGCAGTTTAAGGATACTAACTAATCCATAACAATTATCAAATGCAATTATGGTTAGTTTAAACTTTAAAGCATCATTTAATAGATTCAAACAAGAAAATACACTATGATTTAAATTGGGGGTTCCATGCTTAAATGACAAGCAATGACTTAATGTAGCTACAAGGTCTGCCATTGTAATAATTAATACTAGTATTTGATCTGGACCAATCACCTTTCCACTGACATAGAAGCAAAAGGAAACTATCCATGGTAGCTATGACCCAAAATCTTCCCAATCAAAAGATCTTCCACATGAAGGATATGTAGCAAATGTAATTGGAACAAAAGTAATGGACCTTAAATCTATATTTACTTAATCCATAAGCCTATTGCTTTGTTTGAGCCAAACCCTCTTTTTCCTTTTTTTTTTTTTTTTTCAAAGGCCAATCATTGGTATCATAAAGGAATAATTGGGTAGAAGGCATATTACCCATAAAAGCAGCAGATAAGCACAACATATAATATTTGCTTCCACCTCTTTTTTGTGAAAGAGATCATGAGGGTGTTCCGTCACCAAACTCCCTCTCTAATGCTTCCATAAATATACTGGTATGTTCTCAATAATGCTGGTCAGGATATATAAAAGGACCCTTTTCGAAATGATTCGCTCAAAATGTTTAGACTATCTTTCTTGAACTTTTTCATCTATTTCTTTTTCAGCTAGTGTGTCTGCAATTAAGGTCGGCCAGCTTTTTGGATAGACAGCCAGCATTGTCTAGAAAGAGGGATTTGGGGACACTAGCAACAAAGACCACCGCACCTAATGTGGGAGTTGGGAGCCCTAAATGATCAAACTACTCCACATCCCACTAGCAATGGCCCCTTAGCCTCAGGCCCTCTCAAGTCTCAAAGAAATTGTAAACTTCTATTAAGGGAAAGGAATCTTATTGAGGCATAGTTTTAGGTGATGACAAGGAATGGATGTTGACCCATCAACAAATGGGATAATAGCAAACAAATCCATCTCAAGACTAGAGATTAAATATTATTAGTGGGTTTTGCTTGTTCATGAGTTTTTTTTTTTTATTGTTTTGGTTGAAATGGTTGTAGGCAGACAACATTAGAAAAATGTATTACTAAAAGTAAAACACTCTCTCAAAAGGCTGATTGATTTCAAAGGTTAACTCATCTTCTCCCTCTTCTAAGGGATTATATTAAGAAGAATAATATCATCCGCCTTGGAACTTTTCTTTTCCCCTTACTTTCTCTACCTTCTTTTTTATGAAATGAAAGAAAACCTTGTCTCATCTCATATTCAATGCTGAATTCATTGTTATTCATTTTTTAATTTATTTTCTTCTCTCCATAGTTAGCACTTGGGATCTTGAAGAGCCCTACAAAAGAGCCAATGAGAAAGCACAGGCGGTTACAAGACAGAGAGAGTGGAGTGGGAGTCGGATTCTAGTGGGTTCCTGCCCAAGTCCCTATCTGTATTTTCCCCAATTTTTTTAATCTTTGTTTTATTTTGTTTGTTTCTTTTTTCTCAAAGCCCCACACACAAAAGATACAAACCAGAGAGGGCCTGAGACAGGTCTGCAAGGACAAGATTTTCTGTACTGTAGGAAAGAGATTCAAACATCTTACAAGAGAAGGGAAGTGTAATAAGGCAAATCCCAAAAAGAAACAGATTAATCAATCAGATTGATTTCTTCACATAGAAGAAGAGGTAGAAAGCAGAAGATAGAGACGTCCATGAATGATCAAAAGGTGCCAGGAGAGAAGAGATATATCTGAGAAAAAGACTGGACCCTCCTCCTGTTGCCATTTGGATATACTTTTGACAAGAAAGCTTTGATCTTTTGTCTCTCTGTGCTCCCCTTTCTCCTTCCCTCAGCTGTGTGTCTGGCTCCAAGTGAAATTCCAAGGCAAAACCGAGGTAATCAGATATGAATTCTTGCAAAACAGTTCCTAATTCCTCTGTTTTCTTGTTCTTTCATAATCTGCAAACCTTTCATTTTCAGTTTCCTGTTGGAGAATGGTCTGAAAGAGGTTTTGCATGGCGAACCATAGAGTTGGAGAGACTGGTTTATCGGATTCAGGACCTTCAAGCCACCACTACCACCACCATGTCCCTTATGCTGTTCTACATGGAATGAATGCCCCTACCAGTTTCATGTATGTTTTCAAGTTCTTCTCTTTCAGAAGCAAAATGATTGATGTTCTACATGGGTTAATTTCCTTTTCAATTTTGATTGCTTTTGTTTTCTTCTCCATTAATGGGTTGTCAATTTTTCTCTCCCAGCAATCAAGAAGGACCTACTTTTGATTTTGGAGAGCTAGAAGAGGCAATTGTTTTTCCAGGAGTTAAGATTAAAAATGATGAAGCCAAAGCAAGTATGCTCCCATCTCCCTCTCATTTCTCCTTTTTCTGACGTTTGGAGAGATAGAAAAAGAGAGAAAGAGAAACAGAGAGAGAGAGAGATATAGAGGTTCGAATATGTCTTTGAGGGGAGGGGGCAAAGTTGGAAAGGGGAAAGGGTGGATTACCATTTTTGATACAGTAATGATACTTTAGAAGAAACTTAAAAGGCGTGAAACTACAAAGAAAGAAACCTGACCTGCTTTTGCATAATTTTACCCACTCCATAACTGCACAAAAGCAGGGCAGATTGGGTTTCTTCACCTTTTGGGTTTGATATATTTATGAGAAAGAGAAATCTTTAATTTTAGATGATCATCTGAGATTTTGCTTTTGTGATTCTCTGCAGATTTATTTACAGCAGGCAGACCTGCAGCTACTCTGGAGATGTTTCCTTCTTGGCCAATGAGATTTCAGCAAACCCCAGGAGTAGTTTCTTAACCTTTTTTCCCTAGCTACCTCTTTGACCATGTCTTTTGGATTAATGGGGTGGTACAAAATTTAGATAAAAAGTGGAAAGACCAGTTCTTTTTAGTTTGATATGTACCCATTAACAAAATGGGTGGTTTTTGATTGTTTTGGGAATGAATCTTATTTTTGGATTGGGCTTTTAAATCCAGGAAAGTTCAAAGTCAGGAGGCGAGAGCTCCGATTCTGGGTCAGCATTGAACACTCTCTCAAGCAAACCTGAGGCTTATCAGCTTGAAGCTGAATCCCCCATTAGTAAAAAGGCTTCTTCTTCTTCTTCAGATTACCACCTTCACCACCAGCTCCTCCAGCAGCTGCCGCAGCAACAAGAAATGGCAAGTGATGCCTCAAGAACAGGAACATCACAGGATCAATCAGCTTCCAAACCAACCCATGAAAAGGTACTTAAAACTACTCTTACATAATACAATCACTTCCCAGTTTTTTTTTTTTTTTTGTTCTTTCTTCCCACTTCCCATATCCCAACAAACCAGGATAAAGTTGGTATCTTTTTTGTTATTTTCCTACTGTTTTTCCATGTCTTAGAGGAACTATATCTTCAATGCACATGCATATACAAACTAACGGATCCCAACAATTCCACGGAAAATCAAAGGATACAGTGTTATCCTGATTCTGAACGATTTTCTGATGAGTTTCTGACAGAGAGAGAGAGAGAGAAATCTGTGCACTTTGAAAAGCATAGAGAGAATCTGCACAGTGTTTACCACTATTTTTCTCCCCCCCCCCCCCCCCCTATAATAATGACCCACTTTACTCGATCCCTATAACTCAGAGATAGACTTGTTGTCTTCGGCCTTTATAATTCAGTTTTTTACACACAACAAAGGCAGCTAAAGAGAAAATGCAAGAAAATTATGATGATGGTTTTTGCTACCCACACAATGTTCATAATTACCTGTTAGTGCAACAGGAGTCCTACCATCATCATCAGAAATCAGCAAACTTTCCCGGAAATTCTGTGAGATCTCTCTCTAATCATTATGTATTTGTATTCTCTTCTTCTTCGAAAAATGTTGAGAATATCCATTTCCCTTGGGATGCTGCACTGCAATTTCAAAATATAGATGAATTTTCTGTCTCTTTAACCCCTAGTTTCTCAGCCACCAAACAGAGAAATAGCTTACCAACTTCTTCTATCTTTGTCTATTCTCAGAATTATATTTATTTTCTAAATCACCAACCACATGCTCAATTCATTCTCCATTTCTTTCTCCGTTATCATTTTTAGATTTTAATTCACACATCTGTTAATATGTTGCAGAGAAGGAATTCATCTTCTGATAAACAAACCGATGCTAAGGTACGTACAATCACAACCCACTCAATTTTTTTCCTTCCAACTTTCTTTTATTTTCTCGGCTGAAGCTCCGTTGTTCTTTGGTCTCAGACACTACGACGTTTGGCTCAAAACCGAGAAGCTGCACGGAAAAGCCGCCTGAGGAAGAAGGTATTTTTCATCGGTTATGTCCCCGCAACATGCATGAACAAAACGTGCGTCTGCATGTAAATGATGAACCTCTCCCTTTTTTTAACATCCAAACAGGCTTATGTCCAGCAGCTGGAAACTGGCAGAATTAAGCTAGCTCAGCTAGAACAAGAGCTCCAAAGAGCCAGATCCCAGGTTTTCTTTGTTTTCCTTTTCCAATATTTTCTTTTGAGATTCATGTTTTTCATGATGGAAGGCACAGAAATTACTAAAATGTTATGAATGATATAATATCAAAAAAAATTTATTAAGAATATTTTAGTAAATTCTTCCATTCCCACTACTTTTATGTTTTTATATATTTTCTACTAAGAAGATTCTTGTTTCTTGTTGTGAATAGGGACTTTTCATGGGAGGATGTGGTGGTGCTGTTGGAAATATCAGCCCTGGTGAGTTTATAACTTGAATCTTTCTATTACTTTTTTTTGCCAAAAATACCCCTAGCAGTTGAAGGTATTAACCGAAGATCAAGATAGTTAATATAAGTAATGTACTTTCTGTTGGGGGTATTCTTGTCATCAACAGCAGATGTGGCAGACATGTGGGCACATCTGGTCTTAATCAGTACAGAGCTTTTTAAGATTATTATATTATATGATTTAGAAGTTAAATTCTTAATTCTGGATAAAAAAATTTGTCATTAATTCTTGTCTGGTTTTCCAATTGGGTGAATATTGATGGTTGAAGATTGACCCTACTGCCTTTTCCTAATTAATTGATATTTTTTGTTATTAGTCTAATCTGGAGTTTTCTTTTTCTAAATTTGACCAAACTTCTGTCCAAAATTCTTTCCTGAAATTATTAATCCCAACAGCTCTTGTTAGAGATCAAGCCACATTTCAGCGCATAATGAACGCTGTGTTTGGCCTTTTCCAAACAAAAAAAAACGTTTTCTATGTGAAAATTCAATGAAATATTGATTTAGTATTCCATGATAGGACATTTTCCACTTCGAGAAAAGTAAATTTTTTCACATTTAAGATAAAAAAGTCGTGAATACTTTTAATATGGCTGTAGGGGCTGCAATATTTGACATGGAGTATTCAAGGTGGTTAGAGGATGATCAGCGGCACATGTCGGAACTGAGGACAGGGCTGCAAGCACATCTACCGGACAATGATCTCAGGGTGATTGTGGACAGCCACATCGCACATTATGATGAAATTTACCGGCTCAAGGGAATGGCTGCTAAGTGTGATGTGTTTCACCTCATAAATGGTATGTGGACTACTCCGGTAGAGCGCTGCTTCCTCTGGATGGCTGGTTTTAGGCCCTCTGAACTCATCAAGGTTTGAATTTCCCTCTTCATTTACCGTTACCATGTTACTACATATAGGGTCTAAAGAAGGAAAAAGAATATGGGGGTATTACGCAAAGTTGTTATTGTAAAGGGTAGCTTACCAAACCTAATATTCCCTTAAAGGACACATTTTTTCAAAGGAGTTGGAAAAATACAAATGCCCTTGGTGGTCCATGTCCTATTGAGTTATTCTTGCCAATATCATTTTGAGATTTCCATCTCTTATCACCTAAAAGTAATATAGTAATTTAATTCTCTCCTTTACTTTTGGGAAACCGTCCTACCAAAAAGCCTAATCATGTAGAATGATTTAGCAAAATGATCAAAATACCCCCATTTTTTTTTTTTCACTTCAATAATTAACTAATTTTGATTTATTTTGGTTGATCATTGATCAGATCCTGATATCACAATTAGACCCCTTAACAGAGCAACAATTGATGGGGATATACAGCCTGCAACATTCCTCGCAACAGGCAGAGGAGGCACTCTCTCAGGGCCTAGAACAGCTCTATCAGTCTCTAATTGACACCATTGCTGGTGCAGCTGTCATTGAAGGAATGCAACAGATGGTTGTTGCTTTGGAGAAACTTGCCCATCTAGAAGGCTTCGTTCGCCAGGTAAACATATTTTGTGCCATTTAAACGTATGTCTTCAAATTCTAGAATAAGCACGAAGATTCAGCATGAAACAGAACACAATTCTTTCTTTATCTCACATTTGTACCAATTTAGAAATGTTGCATCACTGATGGAACTAATTTTACATAAATTTTCTGAGGCCATTTTTGGGTGTATGCATTCAGTCCTTGACTAACAAGTTGTTCAATTGTTCTTTTCTTGTGCTTTCATTTTTTTTTTTTTCTGCGTGTCCTCTTGTTTTGTGCGGCAACCGTATCAAAACAGGCAGGGTTTCATGCTTACACTTGCTCACATCAGCTTGATGTAAATGTTCCTTTTTTTGGCCATATCCTGATGTAAACGTTTACTTTGACCATTTCCTTAGCTTTAAAAAAACAACAAAGCACGCATGATTTGCGACATCCATCTTCATTTTATTTTACACTTATCCTACCATCCTCTTGAAAAATCTATGCTCTCGATCTTTGATTTATCATGAATATCGTGTTTGACAATAATTTCTGAGATATAAATCATATAATTATATGTAAGTTTAGAAAACTAGATCTTACGTACTCATGCCACTGCAGGCATAAAATCAACACCTTCTCATACTTTGTTAGCTACTGATTTTTTTTTTTTTTTTTTCTGAGATGAGCCTATTTATGAGTCTATTGGAAAAGTTGAAATGCTAAAGCTTTGATAGGGTATTTTTATCTAGAAGGGTTTCCATCAGAGAGGTGGTTTGAAAATTGAAAGCGATGTATGTTGAAATGAAAACCCTAGCTAGACCCATCAAGTGTGAACATTGAATGATAATGATATTGAGAAAAGAAGAAAACTTTAATATATTTTATTTCATGACTTTGACTTAGAAGATGGACACAACCCGCCGTGCGGAAGACAACTTCTTGAGTTTTTTCAACCCTTTTGAAAATGTTTAGAGGTTGTGCACATGTGTTCTTGAATTAGGGTCCCATCTATATTTCTTCGTGGTGGTTGCTCTTCTAATATTCTCTAATATCTAGACATATTCTCTTGTCTTTTTCAATGTGTTTGATGTAGGCTGATAATTTGAGACAACAAACCCTTCACCAACTGTGCCGGTTATTGACCGTTAGACAGGCAGCACGGTGCTTTTTGGTGATCGGAGAGTATTATGGGCGGCTACGAGCACTAAGTTCACTATGGACATCCCGTCCACGCGAGTAAGATCTTTGACAAACATCATCCCTGTTACTTTCAACGTCACATAAACTTTGGGCCAAGTTGGAATCCTAATGAAAGTACTGTTGATCTTTATTTCTGTAGCACTTTGTAGGCGTTGTCATTTTCATAACTTCTTTTCTCTTTTCAACCGAAAATCGCTAAAGAAAACATACATGATACAACCTTTTGTTCTTTTCCCCCACTTTCTAAAGGCACTAACGACTAAAGTTGTTAATGTCAGATGTTTACTGTATGAATTCTTGGTCTTCTTCTTTTTTAATTTTTATTTTTTTTAAATATGTTATTTTAATATCATCTTGGGAAATTTTATCAGGGCCATGATGAGTGATGATAATTCATGCCAGACGACTACGGATTTGCAGATGGTTCATCCATCACAGAATCACTTCTCAAACTTCTGATAAAGATCTAGGCAGCTACTGATGTCTAAATTTTCAGGATATGATACACAACCCTTGTTCTGGATTTAATATCTTTCAAGCTACTTTAGGGATAGGTTCTTTCTTTTTATATATCTTTTTCATTTTTGTTTCTTTTTATTAAGCTATCCTGTAAATGTATGTCAATTTGAACTTGGAAGAGGAAGCTTCTACTTCCTATGGGAAATTTGAAGTATATATACATCTTTATTTAGTCTCCCTCATTTTGTTCATTGGCCCTTGGCCAATGCCAAAGACCAAATAGTAAATTTTGGGGAGTGAGATGATAGGTTCATTTTCTTGGGTCAAACACTCAATAGTCAATTCTAATCTTCTGTTACACAACAGGGAATGGTATTTTCGTTTTCTAAGTCTCTTTTCATTATCGTTATAAAAGAAAAAGAAACCTTTTTTGTTCATTTGAAGATTTAAGTCACTTTTTTTTTTTTAAATTGGGGGGTTATCAAATACTAAAAAGAAAAAGGAAAGGCTATGGAATGGAGGTGGTGTGGTTTGTTGCTGCTCTTGCATTTAAAGAAGTGGTTATGATTACAGTATTCCTCCAAAAAAACAAAAAGAAGTGGTTGTGAAACAGACAAGGGGAAAGAAAATATAAAGTGAGAAGTGCTTTAATGATATGGGTCTTTCACAAAATTGCTGTGGAAAAAGAGAAAAGATGGGCTGTATCTCCTCATTTATGTCAAGTGGTTGCAAGGGATTTTCCCAATGCTAAAAGAAAACAATTATAAATCCAAGAAAATGAAGAGATAGAGATAGAAAACGAGATAAAAATTTGCTTTTGCATAAAATATAGAAAAATATGAGCGACTCGCATGAATGTTGCGAAACCGATGCATTGCACTTTCACAGAACATTCATGCATATTTTGTGGAAGCCGTTCTCCATAAAGTTGTGTGTGGTTGGTGAGAGAATTTGATTAAGGTGTGAGTTGTAGAGGTCATGCCTCGTGAATCTCTAAGTTTTTACGTGGATAAAACTTATATGTAATGTGGAAATTAAACTCAACTAAAATACTAAGTAGATAAATGAACTTCATATTCTCTTTTAATCATTGATGAAATTATTTTTATAAAAAGGTAATTAACAATCATAATTCAATACTAATAAAGCAATTTAATGGTAATTTACCTTTTAAGTAAAGTGAAAAATCTTAAGTTTCAATTATAGGCATATGAATGAGATAGATAAGAAAATAAAAATAAAATTATTTTTCATCGTATAACTTAAAATTAATAAAAAAATCATAATATGATACATGCCGATAATTTCAAATTTTCATTTTCTCATAGTCCGTGACTCTAATCAAAACTTTTTATTATCATATCATCATCATCATTATTGTGATTAATTTTTTAAACAAATTTTGGAGGCCTTCTAATTGAGAGCAATTGTAAACTTAATAAATGAGTGAAAAACAAAAATTTTGGACCGGCTAATGTATGTGTCATTTTCAACATTGCTTCTTCTATTTTAGCTTTAGTTTAGTGCATATATATGTACATCTTTTTTGGTTAGGTTTCACTTATGATCACAACCTAAATAATACAATATTGATGCATTTGTCATTACTTTTTAGTAATAATACTATAATAGTCATGATGAGATGAGGTTACATTAAATTATAAATATAATTAAAGATTCAATTCATCAAGACGAATGAAAAGTTCATTTTACAAATATATTCTATAAAAAAAAAAATTGTTCATTCTACTTTTCCACGTACATTATATAACTAAATTAATATAATCTTAAATATGGAACATCGAAAAAAGTTGTTAGGTACAAAACAACTAAAAGCAAGTCTTAAATCTTAATCATGGACCTTGTTGCTCGAAGCTACACTCTAAAATACAAAAAGGCTATATTCTATTTAATAATAGTTAGTTTCGAGCTATATATGAACCCTTCACTAAATTTGACTAATTTATTAAATCTTGATTTTGGAATGAAACTCATAGCTTAAACCATCTAGCACAAGGTGAATTGGAATTTGGGTAGTCAAGGATTAGTAAGGATTAATATGCAATATAAAGCAGTGAGAAACAAATAATTTATTATTCTAAATAAAATAAATTTAATTTTTTTAAATTAAAATTTAATAAAATATCATTTACTTTCCATTTAAACTTAAATAAAACTAATAAAATTTTAATAAAATATTATTTATTACAATCTAAACTTAAAGATAACCTAAAATAACAATAGAGAACGAAAAACTTTGGTTTCATATTCAGAACTCAAATCTACCTACTATTAAAAAACTAAACTCAATTAAGTAATTAAAAATAAAGAACGAAAAAATATATACCAAAAAAAAAAAAGAATGGAAATAAATTAAATACCAGATTGAAAGTCCTTCAAAGAAGATGTTCAGGTTTTTGAGCTCATAGTTCCCTAATCCTCTGCTTTGGTTTGTTAGAAAAAATAGTGGCCGACAGTTTTGTATTTATTCCAACATCTTGATATTTATACTTTTAATTTATGATTCTTATCATATTAAGTTTGGAGTTTAAAATTAAAAAATTATTTATACAATAAATAAACACTTTGATTTGAAAATCACTAATAAAAAAATAAAAAGAAAGTTAAAAAGAATCAAATTTTAAAATCATAAACACTCATTATTACCTAAGAGTGTCAAGAAGGGAAAAAGTCGTTGACTATGTATGTAATATGTTTTTGGTCTAGGGTTTGTTATTTATAAGTTGTATATATGATTTTTTTTTTGTATTTTATTATTTTTATTTTTAAAAATTATTGTTATCATATAGATATTAATTATAGTAAGTATATATAAAATTTCAATTATACA